TTCATACTTTGAGAATCGGCTTATATGCGAAGATGCGATGATGCGACCAAGCGATTCTATCAAATGAAGTGAGTGCATATCGATTGGCTCGACTCCGCCTTAAAGCGTCACATGCGAGATAGCGTCTGGATTTCAGCGATCGCGCGAGGCGAAGATGCGATGGGGCGACCAGCGTGGAAGGATTTGATACGTGGCGACAGATAAGATTCAAGTCTATGGATGAGTCATTGATTGATTCCTGACGCGTCGCGGCGCGTGCGTCCCTTTGCGAACGTGCTACCAATCGCGTCTTCGCAAAATAGCCGATTCTCAAAGTATGAACGGGGCCTTATCCACGCAGTTTCTATCAAGTGCACGTCATTCCCGATTACACGCTCCCACCCAAACTTTCGGATATGGACTGTAGAAAGACAAAAATAACTACAGGAGGATTGTACTGAAACACTTTGAAAGAGGGGGGGGGGCGTAAAATTCTGTAATCTACGCAACGCACAGTTTTGGTTGTGTGTTTCTTGCGGTGCATGTGCAGATTCTGACAGAACTGACTTCAACGAGACGAGACATGTTCTGAGAGTCACCACAGATCCAATGAGATCACACGAGAATCGATCGATCGACTGCGTCAGCACAAGGGAATCAATTTGGCTGATGGCTTGACAACAGCTTGATCCTCTCATACATCCCATATTTCATCGACTTTTGTCTTTTGCTTTAACATTCGCCTTACCCATTTACGGCGTTACCGTAAACCGGAAAGGCTCTCAGTGTTATCTTAGTTTGGGGGGGGGGGGGGGCACCACCCGGCGGCGCAGCGCTTTGCTCGTCTGCCCCCCCATAGGCGCATAGCTTCAGCTCGTCAGTGTGATTCGCCATCACGTAGCTGGGCTGCTATACAAGTGGGGTGGGCACACCCAGCTTTTCACGCATGTCAAGTGACTGCCCTCACCCCCCACCCCCCTAGATTGGCTACACTCCCCCTGGCTCACGAACTCCCCAATTCTCGTGACAGTATAGTAGCGAGCAGCAGTCCCACTGACATACATTTCTGTTCAAAAAATGCGGCGTGCCCACCCTACTTGTATAGCACCCGTGGCAGTTTCGAAATACGCGCCATCGAGGACTAAGCCTTGCAGGAAGAGAAGAACAGAGCGTCGCGCCGCCGCGTGGTCCCCCCCCCAACTACGATAGCACCGGGCTCTCTATAAGTGGGGTGCGCACGCCCCGCTTTTCACGCATATCAAGTGACTGCCCTCAACCCCCACCCCCTAAGTTGGCTACAGTCCCCCTGGAGCCCGATTCAATTCTCCCTCATTTGTTTTTGACGATATACTTTCTTTATTTCCAGTGCATGTTAACTTTCACCTTCATAATACTTACATTGAATGTAGGCTTTTTATCAGGACAATTCCAGTGGGGAAGACAGAGAAAATTTGACGGGATTTTTGTCCCCCAACCCTTGGTGGAGGATTGAATCCGGCTTCTGGCTAACTATTTCCCGACTCTCATGACATAGTAGCGGGCAGCAGTCCTATTTACTACCTTTCTGTTCAAAAAATGCGGCGTGCCTACCAACTGCGGGGAAGCCAGGTTGAACATTGGTTAGTTGCCCCAAAAAATGCTCTTCATCTTTGCGGGAAGTCCGCACCCACTCGAGTTCCTCCCCGTTGCAAAAATTGTAATTTTTGTGAGTATTCGTACTGTTGCGCCAGTTGTCTATACCGATTGCGAAAGCGTACATCTTTTTTCTCATATCTCATCAGTGTGAAACATACACAACCAATCTTACTACCAATTCTGATTTTCTTCACGTTCGAAAGTTTTGCATCAGAATCTTCGATAACAAGCTCCTTAATGAATAAAAGTGAGACTTATCCGTAGATTTTGAGTGCGATTTCTAATGGGATCAAGGGGTGATGCCTGCATACTACCAAGTATTAGATCAGATTAGGCCGATGTCAGACTTTGCGAATCGCGCGATTCGCTACTAGCGTTCCGCGTCCGCGGTCGCGTTGCGGTACCAGCCAATTGAGTGATTCACTGGCCGCGACGCGACCGCAGACGCTAGCGAATCGCGCGATTCGCAAAGTCTGACATCGGCCTATACGCTCTTCGTTTACGAAAGGTATTTTGTTGAACTGCATGAGATGTCATACTGCGTATGTTCGAGCTATTTTGGGTTTTTTGGTTTTCTATCCTTTGGATAGTATATAGACATGCCAGGATAATCGGTCAGATGATTTATTACTTACTGCTGCAGTTTCCAACGTTTACTTTAGCTGTAGCGAATCAGGCGTCTGCCGCCATTTGTCGTAGTGCTATAGCCCTTTCTTTTTCTTTTCGCTTTTGACTAATCTTCTATTTTGTTGGCTTTTTTACCTTTATCATCCTACACTTGCGCTTCAAAACTTTGGTGCTGAAAAATTCTCCCCTCTCTTTCTTCTCTTTCTTTCTTTGTTTTTAGCATAGTGATCCCATGCTTCAACGTTTCCTCGTGGTGAAAAATTCATGAGGTACAGATTGGATGATGTCCGGCTTTCGTCTAGGTTTGGATATTCTAAAAAACTTTTTGCAGTGCCGTCTTCTTCACGTAGGAAATTCTTTCAAACACAATGGCAGGCTTGAAACACACAACAAGCTTGAATTCGCATCGACCGATAATAACTCGTCCACCTCCTGTCATTGTGCCACCTACGCAGCTGGTAAGTTGAGTAATGTACCAGGCTTGTTAAAGGAAGCAGTCACGATAATTAATTAATTTAACTAAATTTTACTCAGTGCCGCCCAACGATAAGGAAAGCAATGTGTATTGGAGTGGATAGGACGACGTCCTGCTCGGCTTCCCCCACTTGAATTCCGATTTGCGGGCGCGGCCCGGCAGCGAAACGCGGCGCGAGTCAGCCAGTGCCCCGCCGAGACTGTGGTGATGAAGACCGTTTTGCAATTTGAACCCGCCCACACACTTCCGGCCCCCCACTGCACGACTCGTCCGCCGTTCGCGCGGCCGCGCCGCCAAATCGCCTGAAGAAAGTGTTCGGGGAGCCGGTCAACTGCCCCCAATGTTTAGAACACGTAAAGTTTCAGTGGCAGTGGCCCCTTATCAATGAAGTGATAAGGAGCCGAAATTCACTCAAGTTCAGCAAAACCCAAGACTTATCGATGTGGAAAGGGGTGCGATAAGAGCGTGCTAGATATGATACCGTTATCGTTATCGTCCCGTTTTCATTCTGGAGTGCACCTCTTATCAAGCAGCCGCACCTTCTTATCTCATCGTATCATATCTTCCATGGGCTTACACTCGTCCAACAATTACTGCCTCACACCTTATCGATTGATAACGCGAGGGTAGCAAATCCAGCGTGGAAGCCAGCGTGACTGCTTCCTTTAAAAGCACCTCACGCACTATTCATTTAGAGCCTCGAGCTCATGTTAAAAGGCGTAAATTCACGATTTCTGCCGATTCGTGCATAATCTTGCAATTTTGCTGATCTGGTCTTTTTTCTGAACAAGTAGAAGACGTAGATCATTGCATATGGCCCACCGGCACAGAATAGAATTCAACGGCCCCCAAATTCACGTCTTACGCTCACTCGATTTGCAAAATGAATTGCACTTTAGACGCCCGTCTTTCTTTTCTTCCCCCCCCCCCCGGCAGCCCCTCCCCCCTTGCGTCCGCCCCCCAAAAAACAAAACAAAAACAAAACACCCTCAGACCCTCCAACAACGCCAAAAAACAAACAAAGGGGGGGGTCTTTATGAAGGCCGCCTGTAAGAAAATAGCCCAGCTCAAGCGCAAAACTCTTGACGACAAAATCCAGCTATTCGCCTCGAGATACTTCTCGATTCACTTCACAAAAATGTGGAAGGCAGTTGTGGATTCATTCAGAGTTAATATAGTAAAGCAGAATATTAAGCGACCGTTGTGGAACAGTATAGTTTTAGAACGAAATGACCTAAAATTTCGACGGTCAGGAGCCTATGGAGGGGAGGATTGGGAGAGGCTGAAGGCCACTTTGGCCAATACGTGCAAATGTCAATGTTTGAGTTTACACTAGCTCGCTCGTGAGACGGGCGCCAGTGTCGAACACGGTACATGCCGTCGGCCGCAGTGTGGCCGGGGTGTGGGTCTAGGGCAGATGAAAGCCGAACTTTTTCGCGATTTTCGCCAGCTCGGAACATTTTCCGCCCTGCGGGAGCCTCAGGTCGCCGCCTGAATCATCAGTGGATCCAAGGGCTATCCGCAAGCCCCGAATCATCAATGAAACCCGAGATTCTCGCAACGCAACCAATGCTTTCTCAGTCGAAACGCCGAAAAGCTCCTTTCCAGTGCAACCACCCAGCGTGTCCCTCCCAAACCCACACGAGCACCTCCACCTGTTTCTCTTCCTAATCTCCGAACAGGTATCTCCTTTGCCCACTCATCCAGCTCCATTGTCTCCACACGATAGTTCCAAGCACTGCCTAAAGTCAGTAACACTGTTGAGACAATTTCCTGTATTTATATTATTAATTTATTTATTGGTTACTTGAGACGCCCCCTGCACTTCAAAGGCCAGACATAAAAATACAAACATCAGCGCTGAAAAACAGCCTCGCATTTAGTGGCTGAATGCCTTTAACAAACCAAAAACTGTTGCTTTGCCCTTTATGCTTTAATCATCACAAGATTGTCGCTCGAGACTCGCACAATCGCCGAGGCCCCCCGATATCAACTGATCGATAGCGTCCAGGCGCCGACACTAGCTCTTCGGCGGCCGAAATACTTCTTGATGCCGTCGGTTATAGAAGGCTGATTTCACTGACAGATTGCCGAATAAGTCTGTCAATTATGCAAGTTGGCGCATGCACTCGATTCGAAATCAAGCCCTAAGTTGTTAACTATTCGATTTATACATTGTAGTAAGTGCGTTTTGCCCCCCTTCCCCGCCCCCGACCACGAAACATTCTGACGAGGGGCAGAATGTTTCGTGATCTGGTAAGCTCTTTCACGGCAATACGCCAATATGCCATCACAGGTGTGTGGAAGTGTGGAATTTCTTATGGATCTGAATTGGTAGTATATTTGCGGAGGATGAATCTCTCCTGACTACGACGCAGTATCTGTTTCCTAAACATTGTGAGATGTCGCACTAGGAAAATGCTCTTGACTTGTGTGTAAAGCTGAACTGGGTATAAACATTACAGAACCTTTCTACGGATCCAGCGCTGCTGACGGATTCATTTTTCTTGCCAAACAATTCATTCGACGCTTCGAAAGCATGTTATAGCGTTGTTACAGAGCGCTTTTTGGAAGATGAAGGTTGTCCTCGACTTGCTCAAGGTATGTGTTTTGGTTATGGTATCATCTTTAATTCTTCTTTTTCTATTGACACATTGTTAATTGAATGTGGACAAACCACATTTTCTACTTACGCTCTTTGCCAAGGGATCTGTTAATTTCAGATCGGTATGTGTACGATTACCGCGTACAGAACTGTGCACAACCTAGAAATTGTGCAAAACAAATGAATGGCAATGCAGTCGTCGGATCACGCTACTACCCTTACCGTCCCACTTTGAACTATGGCGCTCTTGCGGACACCTCGGTATCTTTTGAGTTCCTCGAACAAATTCCTAACACATACCTCTTCTGCATTGGGTTTTTAGTATTTGGTCTTATTGTCATTTGGTTATTATTTGGTCTCTATTCAACGACGCATTACATTCATATCTGGCACCAGAAGGTGTCAACTATGACCGCAGTTGCATAGAGATCAAATAATCGGAGTCTGTAGACGAACTTCAATGCATTTCATCGCCCCAACTCCTCGTACAAGGTGTCCATTTCAGTGTTCTTTGCCTTGGTGATACTGCTTCAGTAAGCCTCCCGCATTAGATAACGATGTCCTCGGGGCATGGTGTACATCGCTTGCTTCCTTCATCCGCTTCACGACTTGCTGGACTTTCTTGTTCTAGAGCCATGCTGTCTTGCCCCCCCCCACCTGATTCCACTTCGCGTTTCGCCCATTAGCTCCTTAGCGCATTGTAAATGACCTTCGTAGCTTTTTTCGAGTTTGTTGTACTGACCCGTCATTTCCTGGGAGACCAGCTTCCACTATCCTTCGTTAGGGTCGCTCTTCCACTTTTGGTGCGACTACACCATTTGATTCTCCGCTCGGTTCCTACCCTTGTCTTCTTGTGGGGATCTGTAGTAATGTCTGCCAGGAGAAGCTCTGTCCTGCGAGGCCAATTCTTTGCCAGGGAGAACCTTGATGTTCTCTACAGTTCCGAGGGGTCACCTTCTTATGGGCAGATGGTCACTTTCCGTTTCCTCTCACAACGTGCTGCAGACCATCAAATCATGAGCTGTAGCCAGGCACAGATTCCTCTCTCTCTCTCTCTCGGCGTTACTCGCTCCTGTCTGTCTACCTCCCACACGAGAGCTTATTAGCCGTAATATCTTAGAGGATACCTGGCGCTTTACCGTTGCTGTGGAAATTTTTCACGCTTTGTTCTTGGATTACATCTATGCTCAAATTAATATTTCTTACAGCCGCATTTGTTCAATCCTTCGCCGCAGAGCCCCTTTGATAATGCTTCGCCTTTCTTTGGATGCCCGGTCATTGAGGACCCACTGGTACTCAACAACTCCTTCTTTGTGAGGAATGATTTTGTAATGTTCTATGCTTACAATTCCAGATAAACCAGCCGTCTAAAGTGCACTGGTGCAGCGAAAGAAAGAAGTGGTCAAAAGGTAATATAGAGCCAGGTTCGAGGGCTGAACTCATGTCTCGTCCTTGTATGAAACTCGTGTCTGCGACCCCATTAGCGACAGCTCCATCGCTTTTACGTAAGCAGAATACTGGAATACGGACTGTCTTTATCTAACGGTGGAATTAGTGTTATAATACAGCGTGAGTTGTTTCAGCATGTTGCGCAACCGCATCCATGAATAGTTCCTCATCAAGCAGTAACAGTTTCTCTGAAGCGGATTCTATGAAGCGTTTTATTTGTGTGCCAGAGTATTGCTTCTCAGCAACTGGAAGTCATTTAGTGGACTCACCCATTATCCCTCTGCCTCCAGCAGCTTATGCAGATTCTGAAGAAGATCCTTATATTTGTACAGAACAAACCACCTCTTACTCACAAAACAGTGATGATGTTGTTAGCGGTGAGGTCTCATTGATGTAAGGCATTTGACTTGGTGTTGCTCCATGCTTTTAATTTTACAGATTTCTTCTCCCAAAGCGAACACAGTTCCCGCTCTAATTCTTCGGAGGAATCTTCACCTCAAGCACGAGAAGCGGCTTGCTATACACAAAACAGTAGTGGTCATGCTAGCGGTCAGTTATACCTTGTCCATTGGAGTCATTGGTCTACAACAATCATCTGAGGAATTTTACAGCCTTTTTCTCTCAAAGTGGAATTAGCTGTGTCGCAAATTCGTCGGAAGAAAGATCTGCAGAACGATAATTCAAATAGCAAGTGAGTAATTATGTGTTCGACAACGGTTCTTTCGTATAACTGCACTGGTAATTTACCACTGCTGCCCTTTTTCAATAGAGGGAATTCATGCAAAACCAGAAAAGAAATCAATCTAGACTAATTTTCCAGAAGAACACCAGCGGTTTGTCCATACGAAAGGGTCGGTATGAAGATCGGAAGCTAAGGATAAGAAAACTGAGTTTCTCATTGATTAATTGCGTTGTTTCCTGCTACTATGCCAACAACACCAAATTATTCCAAACTGTAGGGCTGGTGTCAGAGTCCGCGATCCGTCGCAGGTTTCGCTGATGATCGCGATTTTCGCGATGTGCGCGATTCACGCGACGATTCACAACGGAAATCACACAGTGCCCCGATCAATACTGCAAGGTGTTCTCCAATCCGCCACTTCTGCTTGATAGTGATGGCTGAATGACGACTGCTCATGATTCCACTTGTTTCATATTCAGTGTTTCAAATGTTCACACACTTGCAATTTTTGCGATCCGTCGCAGGTTTCGCGCAAATCGCGCAAATCGCGTGAATCGCGTGAATCGCGCAAATCGCGAAAATCAGCGAACCCTGCGATGGATCGCGGACTCTGACACCAGCCTAATATATCTATTTATGTTTCACCTTGATGGTTCTCCGTCGATGTGGCATTAGCGGCTCTTCAGGTTATATACACGTTTTGGAAGGTGCTATCGGCTAATGGAAATTACTGGCCGAATAGGTAAAGCAGAGCCTCGGTCATGATAATATTAGAATCTCCTCGCCGCCCAATAAAAGGACAATATTCCCCTTGACGCTTGTTTCCAGGCGAAAACGCCCACACCACACGACCAAAACACACAAAAAGGCGTGTTGCCGTTAAGATAGTGCTTGAAGATCAAACAGAAAGCGATCGCTATGCGCAGGCAACAGTTTTGGATGGCATGTAATTTGAGAAGCGCAATTTTTCTCATTACTCAATTGAGTGTAGTAGAAATGAGCTCAAAGCTGGAAATTACTAATAGATAATCTGCATGGTAGCTGTCAGCAGCATTTCCTCCATTTCAGACAAGACGATGACATTGGAAATCTTTCACTGTCGAGCGAGGTGCATCCCACAGTTGATGATGTAGCAGTTCAGCGAAAGATTTGTGATACAAGTAATGAAGGTTCTCCACAAGTGGTGAGTCTATCTGGTCATCATCATTGGATATTATAAACGGAGCAGTAGAAATCATAATATGGAAACAAAACTGCTCTTTCATACTTTCATTGCCCTGTTCCTTTGTTTGATCACCTCGCTTATCACTTATTGTCTTTCGACTGTATGTCTACATCTTTCGCTCCAGTACTTAGTGTTTCTTGCGCCCTTCTCAACGTGAGCTGCGCCGATACGGTTTCAAGAACCTGCCCATAAAGGTCTGCCAGGATCGTAACTGTGATTATTTCAATATGTTGAATACTATTGTTCAAAAAAATTATTTCACTGCTACGACAGAGGCAATTTTCGATCTCATTTCAGTCTGTGGTGGCGTACAGCGTCTCAAGTACGTGCAGCCCTGCTGCGAAGCGTGGTCGTTTCGGATCAGTTAGCCTAGAAGAGGCTTCGGGTGGGTGTGGAAGGCCTACTCCCTAACAAAAGTTGTTCGTAGATGAAGAGGAAATCGATTTGTTACAGTCTCTTTCCCTTACGCACAGCAGAGTCATTAACTTTCTTCTTCACAATTATCAGTTTGGTCATCATCCCAACTGTTTCACTTTGAATCAAGTAATGGGAAGGTGACATATCGCGATTCTGACGTTATTTTTAGGTAATAATCGGTTGTTAGCCAAGGAAACTCGTTTGTTGAATGTAGAAAGGTATCACAATGAGTACGCAAGAGATGTGAGTTTTTCCTTTTTTTCACTGCTCTTCCAACTGCTTGCTTATGGTCTGAAATGGTCGATAAAGAAATGTATACGTCTTAGAGAGATTCTTTTTCAGACTTATGCATGGTTAAGCTATCGAGAGACGACCACGCATGGCTTAGGCACCTTATTTATGGATGCCCAGAAAAAGGAAGGAGCGTCTTGGGCCGATCGCCGTGCTGTCGTAATGAGAGCACTAATGGACATGAAAAAGCGGAAGCACACTTTGGTTGGTAAACACTAAGTTCATAAATACCAGCCAGTTACACTTTAGAGAGTAGTTCACAATGTGTGTCATGCGATGTGCGCTCCGTAACTCGTCCAAATGCTAAGATTAGTCGCCAAATGCTGACTTTTTTAAGACCCTAGCGCCATTGTCGCGCACTTTCGAGCCGCGACAACGGCACATCTGTGCTACTCGTGGGCTACTCTATCCCACCACTGAATAGATTCTTCGACACGACTTCTGCGTGGGGTGGGGCTTTTAATGCTGTTTTAGTCTTGCTTGCTAGCATCTCGCTAGCAATTCACAAGCCTAGTAAAGTTGCATGGTTGTGTAATACAAGGTGCGCCACGTTTGGT